CCGTTCCATCGTGGCTGGCTGGCAAGGGTGCCACATGGTGCAGCAGACCTCTCCTGTCTCACCGGCTGCTCCCCTCAGCAGTGTATTTCGTCAGTCTGCCTGTTCTGCTCCCATCGTCTCTGGTGAATCCTCTCACCCTCCTGCATATCTGGCCTGTACCTCATTCTTATATAAATAAATAAATCTTTAAAAAAAAATGAACAATCATGTGGGAGCAGGAACAAGTCTTTATCATGAGGCAGCAACAGCAGCAGCATCCAGCAGTGGCAACCACCCTGGGCTTCAACTGTAGCACTTGGCCCGAGAGTGGCCAGTGAGTATCCAGAGTGTGGTCAGTGAGACCATCCCCAGGGTATACCTATTAGCTTTTATATGATGCATAGACTAAGGCACACAAAGCCAAGTTTAGACCTGTGATGATGCATGTGAACTATACATCAAGGACACATACTAGTTACTGCCCTCTGCACATGTGCACTACATCTCAAGGCTACACAATATCTACTAGGCCACCTGCGGTATAAGGTCACGGTGAAAAACAGTCTGAGAAACTGAGAAAACTCTGCTTTCCCATGAGCCCTGCATCATCTATATCTTTCTATTCTTTTTTTTTTTTAAAAAAAAAGATTTATTTATTTATGAGTACAAGAGCTGGGGTCCAGACCAGAGATGGGGGGAGTAAGAGGAATCACGGGGGTGCAGGCCAGAGATGGGAGTGGTGGTGAGAGGATTCACCAGAGACAGAGTGGGGAGCAGAACAGGCAGATCTACTGAAATACACTGCTGAGGGGGAGCGGTTGATGAGACAGGAGAGGTCTGCTGCACCATGTGAGTCACCTTCCTGGCCGGGGATCGAATTCATGCTGCAGTGGATGGAGACAGCTTCATAGTGCTGTGTCTTAACCCCTTGTGCCACCAGGGAGGCCCTATCTTTTCTAATTCCTAACACTGCCTTGTTTTGTCAACTCAATGCTCATTAGCATCTAAAAGATGGAAGTTTTGAAAAGAACTGAAGATTGATTGATGATAATATGCAGGTTTGGATAACCTTAACATTAATGTAACATTAACGTTGACATTGAAGACAAGGTCTCCCCGAAATCTAGATAGGCCTCCCCAGCATGTTGAGATCAGCCTTTCCAAAATGTCCAGAACAAGCTTCTCCACGATGTGTCACCTTGGCATGTGGGTTGTCTCAATGAGGTCAGTTGGAATCCTGAGGGCTTCAAGAGAAATTTTACTCCCTTTACCTAAAACAATGAAAACAACCTAGATTTAGTGTCATCTTCAGAAATAAACTTTCCATCAGAGAAACCCATAGCAAGGCAAGCATGACAACCTGCAAAGTACCTAGTTTTTTGTTTTTTTTTTTTAAGATTTATTTATTTATTTATACAAGCACTGGGTACAGTCAGAAGCACGGGAGGGTGAGAGAATTCACTACAGCCAGAGCGGGGAGCAGAGCAGGCAGAAGGACTGAAGTACTCTGTTGAGAGGACCAGTGGGCGGCAGGAGAGGCCTGTTGCACCATGTGGGACCCTCCTCGGTGGCCGGGGAGCAACTGGGGATCAAACGGGCGCTGCAGAGGCTGCGGGCAGCTTCGCAACCCAGCGCTCAACCGCTGCACCACCGGGGAGGCCCCAAAGTACCTAGTTTATATAAGTTACCTTCTCAGCATGGATCCCTCTTCCTTTCCTCCTTAAGCACCATGTTCCTATCCCATTCACCCAAACACCTTTGGTGTTTCTTCTTTACTCTAGAATTACTGGTCATATAGCACCTCCATATGTATGAAATTAAATTTGTTCTTTTTCTCCTACTAACCTGTCTGATGTAAATTTGATTGCTTGACTAGTCCAAGAAGAAGCCAGGAATAGGGGAAAATTTTCTCTTCACCTCTTCTATATGAAGACACACTGGGGGTGGGGGGTGGTATGGACTGCTAGATCTATGTGTTCTATAGCTCAAGTCCAAGCAAATAATAAAATTAAAATTTAATATGCAAATTCTTGGTAGGACTTTGTAAAAATCTACAAATGAGAGAAATAGCAACCCTGAGTACTTGCTATTTTCACACACTCTACTTTTTTTTTATATCACACATTAATCCTAAAAGAGTTATGAGTTCTGACTTACAAAAAGGAAGCAAGATTAAATGATGCTAAGTAATGAATAGACAGTCTTTGATAGAAAATAGTAGAAATGAGTAATCCAAGTCTGGTCTCTATAATTCTAAAAATTATGTTCATTTTCCCCTGTATATGTGCTTCTCTTGCTAAAATCAGTTAGACATTCCCTGTTTCTCTCTTCTTTGTATTCTTCCTTTCTCCATCTTTTAGCTCAAGAGGAAGGTTTTTTATTTAAAATTTTCTCACTTGCCAAGATTCTAAATCTAACAATTCTTTTATTATTAGTTAGAAGTAATATTTATTGAGAGTTATGTGGCCTAAACTCTTTGCAAACATCCTCTTTTTTTTTAAATATATTATAAAGGTAGGTAGGTACCATGATAACTGCTTACAGATTTGAAAACAAAGATTTAAGGATATCTAGTAATTTAAAAATAGATATTAAAATAAAATTGTTGGTCATTTTTGGAAAAAAAAAAATCTATCCCGTACCTAATTATAAAGTTTGTGCTCTGAGTCACTAAAAGAAATCAAAGGCTGGAGAAGAAAATATGTGGTAAAATTTACTTTATTTCAAATAGAGTATATTATTTGCTTCATATTTTAAATTGTTTTCACTGTTGATTTTCATTCTAAAACATCTTTGACTCTTCAAAAAAACTATTTTTTGTGTAACTAGGAAAAACCCAACTCAACGCGCTACCACCGTTATGATGATATGTCACTGGCATCTAGTGGCTGTCTACAAAATTACAGCCCAAACGCTTCCTGCCAGGAAGTAGTGTTTAAATAACGAATGCAAATATGTTAATACTAAATGAAATGTTGAAATTGAAGGGAAATGTTACTTATCCTGGACTTGAGTCATCTCAAAATGACTCAATAAACTGACGCTGCATGTATCATGGTGTTGGTGTTAGGGTGGAGGGTAAACGAAATAATCAAGCTTTTTACACCACTAGGCTCTATGACCATCACCTGTGGCCTTGCTGGTGTTAATGCAGAAGGCCCATGTGAGCATGGGAGTGGGGCACGTGTGTCTCATTGTGGACACCTGGGGTATGGATGGACACGCGTGTGCAAGTGTGCACACCTGAGCCTAGAGGCTGGGCTGACAGTTACGGCAGTGGCCGCAGTGAGGAAAGAACAACAGGTGTGACAACAGAAGAGGCAAGACCGTGAGTCGGATGTGAGAGAGAACTCCAGAGAGAGCCCAAAGAACTTCAAGATTTGTAGGGAGCTGGGAGGCTCCGTTGCCTGCTGCTTCCTGGCCCCACTTCTCAGCCATACGTGCCTCCTTGCACACCAGCCTCCCTACCTGGTGTCCCTGTGTACCTGGTTCCCTGAGAACATTAAAGTCTGAAAAATTCACTGCGAGCTCTGGGACTCTTTCTCCATCTGCCTGAATCAATAGTGAGCCTGCAGGCTTACACCACACCAGGTAAGCAGCTGGAGACTTTGGAGAATGGTAGTGGTTGCCCGGCCACCCAACCCACCCACCACTGCCCCGCCCCAGTGCCTGGCCCCAGAAGCTGCTTGTGGGCAGTGCAAGTGGCAGTGGGTGACAGGCATTTCACTGTCCGCCACCAGTGGCCCCACAGGCTCAGGCTGCAGGCAGAGGCCAGCAGTGATGGCAGGTGGCAGTGGTTCCCTTGCCACGCTGCTCCGGGGCTTGCAGCCCCACTGGAACTGCTGAGGCAAAGTTGCCCAGTGCTGGAGGGAGTCAGTAGCTCTGCAGGGCCTGGTTCAGGGCAGCAGGGAGGAGCATGGGGACCCACTGGGCCCACTCCAGTCTGTGAGCATCTCCAGCTGCGGAGAGTTGGATCCTGGCCTGCTGCTTGTCTGCCTGCAGGCAGCTCCAGGCCCTTGTTGCTGGGACAGCACCATCTTGAGCAAGCAAATTTGGGCGGGGACGGGGGGGGGGGGGGGGGGTTGGAGGGGGACGACTTCTGGACACTGGGCACTCTCTGGGCTGAGATAGCAGGGAGAAGCATGAGGCCACATTGGGCCAACTCCAGCGCAGCAGCTCCTTGGAGCCAAAGAGAGCAGAGAGGCCTGCAGAGTCCCAGGTTAACATGGTGGGTTCCCAGCAGAGCCTGCCTTAAAGCAGTTCCAGAGCTGTCACAGGTCTCCTCCTTGCTTTTAGGTCATTAAACCCAGTTCTGTTGGAGGGGTACAGGGTTCCAGGTGCAGAGTGCCTCGGGGGACCCACCAGTCCATGAGCCTGCCCTGAGGTCAGGGCAAGTTGGGCCTTTTATATTCCCTTTTGTATTTGGTGCTTGGGTCATAGAATAGACTAATCAGGGTCAAGCCCAGGTCATTATTTAATTATTCAGATTGAAAATGGGAAACAAGCTGATTGGTGGTGAATGGTCTAATCAGGCTTGTATGATGGGAGGCCCTGAAAGAAGGTCTAAGGGCAGGAACCAGCTTGGGGAATTCTGTCCATGGCCTATGAAGAAAGAAGGATCAGCAGCCAACTTCTGATAAAAGAAGCATTCAGTGACTGACCTCCAAAGGAAGAGGAGAGCCTAAGATCTTTGCAAAGACCTGGCCACTGTACCGGCCTCTGATGTCACCCTAAAGGTATACCGTAGACCTTGGACTGGTGTCTCAAAAAGGTGGTGTGCTATTGGTTCATTCTAATAGCTCACTGTAGGGTAAGTGAAAAAGTGTCGGGCTTTTCTGCCCTCCTGCCATTAGGATTGATGATGGATCCTTGGGGTCCTGAATGCATGCCTGATGGTGGGCACCTGGAGTAGGGTGTGGGCATGCGTAAGTGGGTACACCTGGGGCTAAGAGACTGGGCTTATAAGGGCGGTGTCACGGGGACGCCAGAAGAACGAACGGAAGAGCAGAGAGAATGTGAGAGAAGGCTGGAGAGCCCAGAAAGAGTGAAGACTTGCTGGAGGCTGGGAGGCCTGCCAGCCTCCTGGCCCCCTGGCACCTCTGCCTGCTGTGTACCTGGTAAGTCCCAATAAAAGCCTGCAAAAGCCACCGAGGGCTCCAGGACTCCCTCCTTTACCTGTCTGCTTGGGTCATAGAAAACTTGCTCCTTGTCCTCCTGCCCCTTATACTCACAAAGAGCTGTTAACATTGGTTTGATAACCTCCTCCTGGTGACTGGTGGTGAATGGCACTACTGGCCATTGCTGACCAGCACTGTTTCTGGAGCACCTTTGAGAGCTGTCCACTGCTTCTGATCGTCTAGCACTGCCTCCCAGAGCTGTTGTCTCTGTTGCTTTCCAGTCTAGCCTTCAGTGCTATCCAGGTTGGCCTTCAGGCTATAGCTGTGAGTTTCTTCAGGTTTATCTCAGTGGCCCCTTCTGTGAGCACCCCCCACTGCCATCATCAGTTGGATCCTGGTCCACTGCTTGCTGGTGTGCCACAAGCTCTAGGCCTGGATTGATGGGACAGTGCCATCTTGAATGAGCAATCTTTTGTTTGAGACTTCTGGACACTGGGCTATTTGGGGTGAGATAAATGGCCACTTGTGCCTTTATAAATTGTTTCCCCAATTTGTTAAATGAACCCCACTGTTGTTCCCTGAATCCAAGTGGTCTTCTAATTGAGTATATGACTGAGAACCCATAGACTGTGGCCTGTTTTCTACCTTGGCATGATCCTTTGACCTCTATAGTGCTGTCTAGCACTGTTTCACTTCTTTTAGCCACATACGCAATCAGAAAAGATAATGAAACTGCTAAGTAAATATAAAATGACTCATCCTTTGTACTACAAAAGGCTATTTTAGTTATCACACTAAAGAATTTAGAACAAAATATTACATCTTTGTAATATAATCAAAAACAAAATAATTTTTTTTCATTGTCATTCATATATTTGGCTTTCCTTTATTCTATACTTGACAATCTGTTGAAACGACTTTTCTAATGTGTTGTATATGGAGAATGATTACAGAATGTAGAACAAAAATAACTATCACATGAGTTATCAGGTAATATCAGAAAGAAGTAAATCCAGTTTCTAGAGAAACCATGTAGTTTGTCTTGTGCCATTAGTTTTGGTGGAGTGTGATTTTTATGAGATGGGGCTGTTTTCAGAAGTTTGATACACAGTCTCCAGATATAACTAAGAGTAGGCTCTGCTAAGCAACAGAAGGATTTGTAATACATGACAGTTAGTATGTAGGTTTCTAATCTGCTAGTCTCCTTAAAATATCCTAGCATGTCTTCCTGTTGAATTCATTTTCTGATTCTCAATATGTCAGAACAAAAAGTTCTCATTCTTTTCATTTTGGGGGGCACAATTCTTATTTGTATAATTTTAATTAGCACTACTCTGTTCTCTCTGTTCTTTATGCTATTTTTATATGTGGGTTGCTGTGTTAGTTGACTAAGCAAAGTCTGAGGCACCAGATGCTGACTGGAGAAAAGAATGGACTTTATATATCCAAGTATATTTGGTGGTGAAATTTGCCACAGCTGAAATTTACAATACATTGTACTATGCAGGAATTATATCTATAAGATTTTAAATTATTTCAAATATTTATCAAAATTAATGAGAAGAATGACCATGAAAGAAAAAAAAAGGCAAAGATGACCAAATTAGACACAAAATATAATCTCCTATGACAGTTAATTCGATGTGACAGCCTAGAGCTAGATTATAGTGGTCTTTGTTTCAGTCAAGCAAATGTCTAGATGTTGCTGAATGTAGGGTATTTTTTAGGTGTAATTGACATTTGAGTCAAAAGAATTTGAATAAAGAAATTTATCCTCCTCAATGTGTGTGAGACTCATCCAACCAGTTGAAAGCCTTAAGAACATAGACTGAGGGTTCTCAAATGAAAAGGAATGGAATTCTGTCTTCTAACTGCAATAACAAAATTCTACCTGAAGCTCCTATAATTGGACTGAAGATTGCAACATCAACTCTCATGCTTTTGAACTGCAAGGATTTAGGATTCTCTAGCTTTCATAGTCATGTAAGGAATTCATTCCTAAAAATAAATCTTTTTCTTTATATATATTTTATTGATTCTCTTTCTCTGGAGAACTCTGACTAATATACTTTCAAAGTTATAGAATGAAGATGCAAAATAAATACTGCAGATTTTGTATATATATACCATATATATAGCATACCTTCTTAGGGTAATTTTTTTTTAAAGATTTATATATACAATAGCTGGGGTACAGGCCAGAGGTGCAGGAGGGTGAGAAGAATCACCAGAGACAGAGCGGGGAGCAGAACAGGCAGACTGACCAAAAACACTGCTGAGGGGAGTAGTGGGCGAGACAGGAGAGGTCTGCCGCACCATATGGGTATCTCCCTGGACAGCCGGGAATCGAACCCATGCTGCAGAGGCTGTGGACAGCTTCACAGTGCTGTATTCAACCCACTGTGCCACTGGGGATGCCCATGGGTGATATTTTAATATCTTTAAAAAAAAACAAGTATATAATAACCATTTAACACAATCCATTTTTCTGGCATAATTGTTTTGGATTTTCCAGGAAGATTATGTTCTTTTGACTCTCTTAGGTTTCTCCTCTCAGTCTTATCCCACCATTGCTTTTACAATAATTCATAAAGAACATTACATTTTATTCTTTTCCTATAGGAGTAAATGAAATAATTATATATCTCATGGCCTCTGTCTATTTCAGGTCAAAGGTTTTCCTTTTTTTTTTTTTTTTTTTTTTTCATGAAACAGCTATTGCCATTTGTTTTTCAGTTTTGAAAAATATTAAATTGCAATATATTTAAATCTATGAAAGATTCTTTACAACAGTTCCAGAGAAGTAAGGACAAATGTACCCATGGCATAAGTCTTTACGTATTTTCTTATATTGTTATTCACTTTTGTACAATATTTGATTTCTCCCTCATGTTTAGTCACCTTAGTACCATAGTATAAATTTTAAAGCTTTCACAATGGTAACTTTTAGTGGAAGAATCAATCATTTATTGAAAAGGTGAGTTAGGAATGGAGATTTCTAGACGAGAAATAACTAAAGAGTGTACAAAGGTTTTTATATTTCGATTTTCAATTCTCCCTTCCAGCTGCGAGCAAGCAGAAAAAAGAATAGGTGTTTCAGACAACAGAATGGGAGAATTTTAAAAGGTAAGATTGTTCCTTAATCTTTTCTCATAAGCTACTAGTGAAACTGAATATAGCGCTGATGGTTGTGATAGAAAATAAACCCAGTGTAGGCAGCTCAGGGGAGGGTAAGGAGGGCCTGGAAAGAGAACAGCTGACAAATGTCCAAAATTACATAATTCATTAAACTTGTAATTTTCAAATGTGCTTCTTTATATAGTCACTTGGAGTGATGATTAACTACCTTAGTTTCTTCAAAACACGCATGAGAACATTTAGCAATGTTATATAAGTGGCAGTGTTCACAGTATGGCAAGGAAGAACTTTATCTTAGCAACTGGTACCACTTCCTAAAAGTGTTTCAGTTTTGTATGAGGACCCTAAAATCTGTTCTTACACATATCCTCCAGATTTTTCCAATATAAATTGGCAACTCGTTGATTCCTTTTCAAGTGTGTGATATCAACCTGGCTTGTAAAGTTGCATTTGTAGTTTATGTTCTTTGTTCTTGTGACATCTAACTGTAGTGGCTTGTCTGTATAAAGGAGGTGTGGAGAGGGACTTGCAGATAATGGGGCTTCTTCACGGAAATCATCAAAGAGTATAACATTTAATCAAGTGAGAAAGAACCACAAGACAAAAAAAGGGAATCATTCTGATGTCAGGAGATGCTTAATGGAAAGCAGAAAGTCACCTATGTGTTGTATTTCCAATTCTTGAATTTTGATATTTGAATTCATAATCCCCTTTCTTTAAACCATCGGATTGAGGAGAAACCACCCTTCCTCTTCCCCATGCAGTCCTTAACTCCTGCTACCATATTTTGTGGGCAGCAATGCTGTTTCCCAGAGTCTATTCCTAAGTAAACACAGGATGAATGAATTAGCAGTTTTGTAACTCATGCCATGGATTACTAAATTCCCAACCAAAATACTATAGGGCTTTTATTGACTACATCCAGACCAAACAATCAATTTAATTTCTTCATATTTTCCCAGGGACACTTTGCTTGTGTTGTTCACATTCTTTGTCAATTAGGATGTTGTTTTATAATCAGTAAAAGGAACATATTTTGGCTTGCCTAAGGTATTATAGGCACATAGTTATAGATATGGATTCAGATATTTAAAAAACTAGATATTTTTTAAAATATAGATATTAAGGATATCATGTATACACCCAGGCATAGCATATTATACACACAAACACACACACACACATACACACACAGGAAAAAAGGAGCTAACTGTAGTGATAGAAAGCTTATCTTAAAGGGCATCCCAATACATTATCCCTCCCAGATGTGGGTGCTGTTGCTCAGAATGAATTGTTTCTTTCCTTGTGTGCACCACAGAGTAAAGATTCAGAGTCATGTGTGGAAAAATCCAACTGAGGGCATTAAATCATTATTACCCCCAGGCTTCCATGGTCTGTTCTGCTTATTTCCCCCTTTGTTTCAAAAATAAGATAGTGCCTCTCAACAACATTACATACTGTGGGAATTGCCTCTAACTAGGATACTAAAGAGCCTCAAAATGCAAATGGGTATTAAAGCTGTAAGAATTGGGGGCTTTTGTAATTTTTTTATGGAGTTTACACTGGTTTACAACACTTGTTTTTTTTTTTTTTAAGATTTATTTATTTATGCATACAAGAGCTGGGTACAGTCCAGAGATGTGGGGGGTTGCAAGGATTCACCAGACACAGAATGGGGAACACAACAGGCAGATTGACTGAAGTACACTACTGAGGGGAGCAGCGGGCGAGACAGGAGAGGTCTGCTGCGGCATGTGGGTTGCTCCCTGGCCGGCCCGGGATTGAACTCGTGCTGCAGTGGCTGTGGATTGCTTTATAGAGCGGTGCTTAACCCCTTGCGCCACCAGGGAGGCCCTACAACACTTGTGTATAGTTTAGGGGTACAGGTTCACACCCCCCAAATACATGTTAGCACAACATTCCTACCACTAAAGCACTCATAATTCTCTACCATAGTCCATTGGGCCTCCTCTCTTCTTTGCTCCCCACCCTCACTATCTCCTTCTGGTAGCCTCAGTTCTATAATCCAATTTCTAGAGTTTGTTTTGGTTTATTCTGTATGTTCCTTTGTTTTGTTTCTCTTTTCTCTATGTTAAAGATGAGTTAAATCATCTGGTATTTGTCTTTCTCTTTCTGACTTATTTTCCCTAGCACAATCACTTCCATTTCCATTGTTGTAAATGATAAAATTTCATCTTTTTTATAGCTGAGAAGTATTCCATTGAGTGTATATATATATATATATATATATATGTATATATATAAAGATGTGGGGTGTGTGTGTACATATATATATAGACACACACACCACATCTTTATCCACTCATTTGTTGTTAGACACTTGGGTTGTTTCCAGAAGTTGACTGTTGTAAATAGTGCTATAATGCACATCTACCCCTTTGAATTAGTGTATTTGCATTCTCTGGATACCTAGCTTTCGTCATCTTTGTGTCCAGTGTAGTCTCCACATTGACTAAAATGTACACTAACTTGCATATGCCTCTGAGAACTCTGGATGTATTTTGGCCTTCCCTCAACCCCCAACAAGGATCACACACAAGTTTTTTTTTCACTGTAATTGCTCAGCCATCATGAACCAATTAACTTATGTTGATTTGCATGGCAGCAAATCACAATAGCAAAAGACAAGTCTGTTTTGATCATCGCATCATCAATAATATTTATTCACTGGTCTCTGACATGCAACAATTACTTTTCTACTACAGAAGGGCAATCTTAATTAAACTTGTATTTCCTGTTTCCCAGGCTTTTGGAGTAGGAGGAGAGCAGGTTTTCTCCACCATCTATTGCAATGGTTTACATCATCTTAATTTGGTTAGAGTCTTACACCCCCTAAATCTTGATTGTCTGCATTCCAAGCTGTGGGGTGTGGCAAACAGCCCAGTTCATTTAATTCCAGAAACTGCTTGATGAAGTTTGTGAAGTCTGTTTTATTTATACTTTCTCATGCAGTTTGGGAAAATTTTGAGCTCTGTGCTTCAGTTCATGATTTATATTTATTGACTATGTTTGTACGTGATCAAAGTATACTTGTTTACTTAGTTTTGACATTTCCAGACATTCAGTGGTATTACTCAACACAGGTGGACAGACAACCAAGAGAAGTTTGCTCATCTGTTTCCAATAAAGTTGAAGAAACAAATGTTCAAGAAATTAAAGGATAATAACAAATATATACAAAATTCAAACATAATAAATGATTATATAGTGAGTACAAAATGAGTAGTACAGGTAGAAAAAAGAGTGAGAAAGAATTCATTGGTGGTGGTTGCAGAGATAATGAGGAATATCTCCCTCCTCTGCTTAAGAAAAGAAATGGGTTTGGGCCTCCGTTGTGATGAAAGGGGTTAAGATGCAACCTATGAAGCTATCTACAACCACTGCAGCACAAGTTTGATCCCTGGCCAGGGAGCTAACCACATGGTGCGGCAGATCTCTCCTGACTCACACGCCACTCCCCTCAGCAGTGTATTTCAGTCAATCCACCTGTTCTGTTCCCCACTCTGTCTCTGGTGAATCCTCTCATCCCCCCACACCTCTGACCTGTAACCCAGCTCTTGTATGCATAAATAAATACAGCTTTTAAAAAAAATTTTAAAAAAGAGAACTGGTTTTACTTTTGTTCTTATGTGCTCATGTATAAAGCAATCAAAAAAATTGTTTTGATTTGTTCTACCACTAAGTAAACATTTCTCCCTTCATTGACATAGTGGAAGTTGCTTACCTGTGAATTCATTCTGCTATTACCAGACTGCTCAAGTCTAACTTTGAGGAAAGATTTAGCCCCCAAGTTTTGCATGTTGTCTTTTAGTTGCCAGCCTTAAGTATATTAGACTTTGTGTTGTCACCCAGATTAAGACATTGGGATTGGAGGAAATCTCTGAATTCCTATATCCAAGTAAAAATGTCCAAGAATGTGACATGGAGCATTAAGACTTTCACCCAAAGCCAGAGAGGAATTGTTCTGTTTTCAGAATGCCTCCATCTGAAAGTGAGTAATCCTTATGAAATGGATAATTTATGATTTTAATGCTCTCACAGCTTAAGCAGAACTGCAGAATTACACATAAAGAATTTTTTTAGGGCCTCCCCATTGCCAAAGCGGTTGAGCGCTGGGTTGCGAAGCTGCCCGCAGCCTCTGCAGCACCGGTTCGATCCCTGGCTTCTCCCCGGCCACGGGAGGAGGGTCCCACATGGCGCGCAGACCTCTCCTGCCGCCCACTGCTCCCCTCAGCAGTGTACTTCGGTCCTTCTGCCTGCTCTGCTCCCCGCTCTGGCTCTGGTGAATTCTCTCACCCTCCCGCGCTTCTGACTGTACCCAGTGCGTGTATAAATAAATAAATAAATAAATAGATAAATAAATAATCTTTTAAAAAAAAAGAATTTTTTTAAAACAGTGTCACCTGATCTTCTGGTATGACCTCCTGGGTAGCCTCCTCTCACTTTCTGGGGTAGTTTTATAAGAGTAAAAGAATAAACAATGTCCTGTTAGACTGGTTTATGCTCATTCTTCAGCATCTACTTTGTTGTTGATACATACTAATATATGAGGATTCCTAAGTGTCAAGTTCCACTTTAAACATGTTATAGATACAAGGATGTGAAAAGGAAGTGAATTCTTTAAAATATTTTTGTAAACCGTGCATGCCTTCTATGGGGCTGGGAACTACTTTCTTAAATCACAACTTTGCAAAAAATTTCTGTAATCTTACAATACAGTGTTTCCTCTATATTTTCCCTTTAAACCATTTTTCTCTTTTTTTAATTTTATTTTATATATTTTTACATTTTTCATTTTATATTTTTCCTTTAAACCATTTTTTAAAAGTGTTAGCTCTATATTTTTCCTTTTAAGTACACTAGAGATTTAAGAGCTACATTTAAGAGCTATCAGGTGAGCTACAAAGTGGAGAAAACTTAAATTCCCCAGAATTTTTGGTGTTATTCCTTAATGAAGAAAGCAGTAC